TTGTACGTCACATTTGCATATACATGGAAAACATCACATTCATGGCATGTGACATGAGTGTGGGTGTGTGTGCATGTTTTTGGATCAAACACCATTCTTGGTGGTTGAGGCGTGGATTCGGGAAGGTTGGACCTAGGTCCGACGGAGTTGCATAGCTTGTGTCGGGTATAACAAGAAGGGCTAGATTCTCCCTCGGGTGCTAGACCCGGTTACTAGTTTATATACTTCTATCGGTGCAAGTCCAAAAAGTGTATTGGTGTCACGGAACCGATGGTGAGATACCAAAATCTGTGAACCCAAGAAAGACATGGTTTATTTTATAAAATGGTTATTGGATGTGTAATATCAATGGCAAGGGCTTGGAATGCCCGAATTCATATGCATGGTATTGCATGTGTTATGGGAGCCAATGAAGGTTTGGGTTGAGTTACATATGTGAGTCTCATCTCATGACATGGCATGACATAGAAAATTCTATTATGAATTGCATATTCTTGAATGAATTATTTGTTGCTTGTTGAATTGCATGTGAACATTTTATATGCATCTAGGTTGGGGAGTAACCTCTTTAGAAGATACCCTATTGAGCGTGGCTCACCCTTTATGGGNCATATTGTGCTCATGATATATTGAATTTAATATTGGAAGTGCAATTGTACGTCACATTTGCATATACACGGAAAACATCACATTCATGGCATGTGACATGAATGTGGGTGTGTGTGCATGTTTTTGGATCAAACACCATTCTTGGTGGTTGAGGCGTGGATTCGGGAAGGTTGGACCTAGGTCCGACGGAGTTGCATAGCTTGTGTCGGGTATAACAAGAAGGGCTAGATTCTCCCTCGGGTGCTAGACCCGGTTACTAGTTTATATACTTCTATCGGTGCAAGTCCAAAAAGTGTATTGGTGTCACGGAACCGATGGTGAGATACCAAAATCTGTGAACCCAAGAAAGACATGGTTTATTTTATAAAATGGTTATTGGATGTGTAATATCAATGGCAAGGGCTTGGAATGCCCGAATTCATATGCATGGTATTGCATGTGTTATGGGAGCCAATGAAGGTTTGGGTTGAGTTACATATGTGAGTCTCATCTCATGACATGGCATGGCATAGAAAATTCTATTATGAATTGCATATTCTTGAATGGATTATTTGTTGCTTGTTGAATTGCATGTAAACATTTTATATGCATCTAAGTTGGGGAGTAACCTCTTTAGAAGATACCCTATTGAGCGTGGCTCACCCTTTATGGGGACAATATTTCAAATGCATGACATGCACCAGTGGATGGCTCTCACTCGAGTCTTTATTGATGAAGAAAAGTCGAGATGTGGCTTTAAATTTCCTTTTTGTAAAACACATGTAAATATTTTTGAACATGTAATATTGTGCAAGGAATTGCAAAACAAACTCATATGAACAATATTTTGTGTAAAATTGTATGTTATATGATTATGGATAAATGGACCCGGTGTGGTCAATGTTGTATGATTGCATAGGTTGCATTTTGGATAGAGCTCCTCATATAAAGGAGACTCTGTCTGAATTTTATTAAGTTATGAATCCCGAAAAATGGGACATAACGGCATGGTATCGAGTTACACGGTATTCATGGTATTCCGCGGGTTGATGGCTAATTAACAGGCTAATTACGGACACTTGGATTTTGGGGCGTCATGATGTAAACAATATACATTTAACGACAAAAGTAAGTAACATATAATTACCTCATCAGTACCACTGAAAAATTTTATAAGCCAATACTTATAAGCTCTCATAATTCTCTAGTAGTTATCTCATAATACTCCAATCACCATAGCCTACAATAGGAGTATACAATTGTCGCCACTTAGTCTAGGCTACATTTTTCACATAGACAATATTTGCCACGGAGGAAACATTCGCCACATAAGCTATTTGGTAATCATTTAATTAATATCCACCACACAAGTCATACACTCGCCTCTAAGACTATTTTCCAATAAGACCACTTATCATAACCACAACACCGAACATAGCGAAATGTTACCAACATCAAATAATAATTCATACAGTCACCCATTATCAACAAGTAACATTAGCCTTTAAGACTATCTCAATTAGTAACGATTATATGATATTATTGTATACCATTCACAACACCTTTACCCACATGCTTATAAACTAGTGAGCTCAATCGTTCTCTTGCTATCTTTATTAATGTGATATAACTCATCCAAAATGCTAACTATAAGCAACAACTCAAAACAATACACACTCTATGGCATTTAAAACATGTTCATACTAATCTCAAGCCCATACAGAAAATACACCCACCTCAGGTCTAGCTGTAGTTCAAACCCAATCTTCAAATAAGACTTTAAGTGTACTTGATGTAGGTCGACGCCTCTATTCCTTGGGTACATTTCAATCTGAACTCAATCTTTTATGTAATCTTAGGTGAAACCGACGCTAACATCATCGTCCTCGCACCTAACATACATCGCCACAGACCACGTAAATATCATTCATAATTACATGATGTTATACTACATATGTGTGGGTGATTAATCAAACGTATCCAAATACTTTCTTAATACCCCTTTTCATTTACTATAATATATCGAACTCTTAGATTTAGTAAGGTGTTGGTAGATAAATAAAATCAATTATATTTGATTCAAATCGATTAACATGTCTAAAGAAGTTTTGAGGTTGAATGGATAAAGAATTATAGATAGTACGATAAAAATGGTGAAGATTAATGTTTCTACTAGATCACTAGAAGTTCTACCGATAGAACACATCAGAGAACATAGTTATACTGGTAGATCACCACTTCCTACCATCAGAAGTTTGATAGAACCACGTCCTACCTGTAAGTTTTCACTTCCTACTGGTAGAACACTTCACAAAATGTTGTTCTACTAGTAGGTCACCCATTCCTACTAGTAGAAATCTTGACAGAATAGTCCTATTGGTAGAGGCCTGACAGAAACCTGTTTTAGTTCCATTTTCTTCCTTCTCTTTCAACCCCACAATTCTTAAACATCCACCATCAATCATAACCATATATTTCCCATGAAAAATCTATGCTAATAGCATACTCACATCAAAATTCATAAATCAAAATTAAAACTAAAACCTAAACCATCTCTCATAACCAAAATTTATAACCCAAAACCCAATTCTTTTTACTATACTTTTAAACAACCAAACATAAATTATTATTAATAGAATTCCTTAACAAGAAGAGTTACTCTCTTCCAATTCTTCAACAAATTTTATTCCAAATTAAATAAATAAATAAATAAATAAGGGTTTTGGGTTACTGGAACCCTTCGCTAGAGAACTTCCTCTCTCTTTCCAAACTTCTAAATTTCTTTCTCTTGTCACTCTTTTTCCCTTTCTCTTTGCTGAATTTCTTTGGCCTTCACTCTTTTTCTCTCTTCTTCTTTCTCCTTGCGTTTCTTTTCCTCACCCTCACTTACAGCAACCGTCTCCCACACACACACAGAGATATATACATATATAAAGAATAGCCCAAAAGAAACACATGTCCTCTTAATGACTCAACCAATCCCTTAATTACACTAAAGTCCCCCTCATAATGCTAACTTCTCCCTTATTTCACTTATTCCAACCTAAACACCCAACTATCCCAACTTTTTACCAAAATCTCATTCCTACTCTCTATCTCTTGTAATTCAACAATAAAATTCTTTAATTAGAGTCATATCTAACTACTCTAGGTTCAATTTTCACAATTTCAACTCAACTCAACACAACTATTAACAAATTACACTTTGATCCAACATATTTTATGAAATACAATGTGACGCATACACGGGTCTCACACTTAGCATGTGGTTGGCAATCAGAACCAAGCTTAATACCAAAGATAAGATCCAGACTTATACTCACACGATGGAAACCGAATGTGTTATGTAGGGAGCAAGCTAAAACTCACCAACACCTACCCTTGCTCAAAGAGTGTGTGGAACCATTTTATGAACTTGGGTGGACTGTGTACAAGGTATTCCATCCCTTTGGAATGTCTTCATTCAATGGGATGACCAACATTGGACAGGAAAGTCCTTGAGAGTAATCATCCTTAAACTCTGTGTTAGTTGTGTATCACATTTGGAGAGAAAGGAATAATCACATATTTGACAATCAAGCATCGTATTTTCTCCTCAAAGTTCAGCTCTCCATCAGAGATTAAGCTAGCTTTATTTAAGTTTAATTCCTTTACCCAGAATCTCTAGCTAGTGTAAATCGATAACCTCCCCGTGTCTTGCCTTTACTGAATCCTCTACTCTACTTGGGGTTTGGTTTTTTGATGTGTTTTTTAGCATAGATAGTTCCTCTATCTCAAGTGTATTGGATTTTGGAGAAAGTGCTAGCTCAAGTCCTACACATTCCTTCAAATTCAGCTCACTTATGTTAGAGGTTGTGTATATAGGCAGTAACTTTGTTGTATGCTATGGGATGAAATCAGAGTAGTCTTTCACAAAACATCAAATGACATATATTATGGAACAAGAAAGGATAAAATACTTTTATATTAAGGAGGTGTGGGTAAAATAGTGTCTAACTCTAGGTATATTGTGAGCTCTCCCGATGGCTTTCTGTGTTTTCCCCCAACCCCCTTAAACCCTTTATTTTCCTCCTCAAATCCTCTCTCATCGTCCCCTTGTTTTCTTCAATCCTCCTTCTCCACCTTGTACCCACCTCCTTCACCTATATCCCCAATTTCTTTATCCCCTTCTCTCTCCTACTCATCCTCTGCCCATCCACACATCCCAATAGCTTTATGCAAACCTTTCTAGCTCAGCCATGGCAAAGAAGGCATTACCTTCCAAAGATCCAAACAAGATTGATGGGGCTCCTTCCATTTTTGCCAACAACCATGCCATTAATGGAAGTGGGTCATCCAACCTCTCACTATAACACCTCTAGGCAACAAAAAAAAAATACTCCACCAAACCCACCATTTTTTCCATTATCGAGCTGGCCTAATGAGGTTACTACAAACACAAATCCCATCGTTATTTCAACCACCGTCGATGCTGAGGTAGTGGACCATCGAAGTAACCAAGAGATTCCATCTCCTCCAGTCGGTAACAATGTTTGGGACTCTTCCCCTATTCCAAAGGATGGGAGACCTTCTAATGGGCAGCTTCCAAGCAAGCATATGAGTGTTCTACATACTAAACCTACCCCTGCCAAGCCATGGAGCCAAGTTTTAATGAAAAATGCAATAGAAAAATCCAACTCTCTGCACCAACACCCTTTTGAGGTTATGAATCTTCAATATTTTCAACCCCAAAAGGTAAATAATAGAATCATACTCCATCCCCCCATGGAAGTTGTCTTTAAGGGCTATTATGAGTGGAGAAACTACATTGTTGGTTATTTCATAGAAAAAAAACTCTCTTTTACATATGTTAGCTTTATAGCTCACAAGATTTGGGGCAATATGGGCCTTCTTGAGGTTTATGCAAATGATAATGGGTTCTACTTTTTTAAGTTCATGGATGATGAGTCTAGAACTAAAGTCTATGAAGCTGGCCTTTGGCTATTTTCTGGAAGGCCATTCATCATCAAAAAATGGCATCCTGACCTCATTTTATCCAAAGAGAACCACTCTTTAATTCCACTATGGATCAAGTTGCATAACATCCCCCTCCAGTTTTGGTGTGATGATGGGCTAAGCTACCGCGCTAGTGCAATCGGTAAACCTCTTTATGCTAACACTTTAACTACAAAGAGAAGGAGGCTAAGTTACGCAAGATTATGTGTTGAAGTGAATGTTGCTGAAAAATTGGTTGAGAGTTTTGACCTTCCCATGGACATCCAAGGGAAAACTAAATCCATAGAGATCAAGGTGGAGTACCAATGGTGACCCAAAATTTGTCAAAACTATCGTATTTTTGGTCATAATTAGTCCACTTGTCCCAAACAAAGAACAATGTAAAGTTGGAAGCCCAAACCAACTCCATTACAGGCCAACACAGTTGTCCTAGATAAAGGAAAGGCAGTTGCAACTATGATTGTTTCTTTAGGGCAGCAAGGGGCAGAGCAGACTCAAGCAAAGGAACTGATAGATATTCACCATCCTNTCTAGATAAAGGAAAGACAGTTGCAACTATGATTGTTTCTTTGGGGCAGCAAGGGGCAGAGCAGACTCAAGCAAAGGAACTGATAGATATTCACCATCCTTCTTCCTCGGTTACTATCAGAAATACAATGGGATTGGATAACCAAAGTGGGGCTTCTACCTCTTCCCAACAGGGTATATTGGTTCACGACCACCATATCACTAAGATAACAATCAATGAGAGCAATTCTCCTCAACTACATATACAGCCTGGGTGCTTTGTCACATAACAAATTTGAGGAACTCAGGAAGGAGGGGGCAAATTGTGGTAGAATTGAGAGCTAAGCTTGAGCCTAAAACAAATGAACCAAATGAAGTAATTGAGGAAGTCTACAAGGAGGTGGAACTAACCAAAGGCAACCTTCAACAAATGCCAAAAAAAAAGAAGAAAAGTAAGAAGAAAGACTCAAAATCCAAAGTGGCTAAGCACCTCTTACTCAAAAAAATCCCACCCCCTCAATGAATTGTGCATGTTGAAACATAAGAGGTCTTAATGAGACTTCTAAGCAAGGGGAGGTTAGGAAAACTATTTTTGAACATAATTTTGATATTTTGGGGCTTGTTGAAACAAAGGTGAGAACTGAAAATAAAAATAGAATCATACAGGGTGTTTTTAGAGACTGGAATTGTCTAGCAAACTATGATAATCACAACTTTGGAAGGATATGGATTGGGTGGAACCCTGATAATGTGGAGCTTAGCAAGATCTCTGAGAATGATCAAGTTGTCCATTGCAAGATCAAGCATCTTATGAGCAGGGTGCAATTCACTGCCTCTTTTGTCTATGGCTATAATGAGAATAGAGAAAAAAGACCATTGTGGAGCAATTTGATCTACCATGCTAGAATCTTCTCAAATGAACCTTGGGTGGTGTTAGGTGATTTAGGTGATTTTAATGCTATTAGAAGCTTACATGAAAGTGAAGGGGGGCAAAACAGATTGAACTCTGCAATGGAAGAATTTGAGAGGTGCTTATAGGATTCAGAACTTATTGACCTTAGATACTCAGGTATTCAATTCACCTGACGTAATAAGATGGGTGGACATGGATCTGTGGCTCGTAAGTTGGATAGAGTCTTTTTGAATGAAAGGTGGAACATCACATTTCAGTAGGCTATGGCAAAATTCTTACCACTAGGAGTTTCTGACCATAGTCCTAATGTTGTGCATTTGGGAATTCAAGTCCAAAGGAGAAACTACCCTTTCTATTTTTTTAACTTTCCTGCTGAGAAAGAGGATTTCTTAGGTTTGGTGAATCAGATTTGGTCACAGCCTATTCAAGGGACCTTACAATATCGAGTTTGCTACAAATTAAATCTTCTCAAGACAATGTTTAAAGGGATAACCAAGAATATTGGGGAAGTTACAGTTAGAGCCAAAGAAGCCAGGGAAGCTTTGGAGAGGTTTCAAAGAATGCTGGATGATAACCCAAGTGACCCTGCCATGAATCAAGAAGAACAAAATCTCCTTGCTAACTACATTCNATATCGAGTTTGCTACAAATTAAATCTTCTCAAGACAATGTTTAAAGGGATAACCAAGAATATTGGGGAAGTTACAGGTAGAGCCAAAGAAGCCAGGGAAGCTTTGGAGAGATTTCAAAGAATGTTGGATGATTACCCAAGTGACCCTGCCATGAATCAAGAAGAACAAAATCTCCTTGCTAACTACATTCAAGCTACTAAGATTGAGGAGGGATTTTACAAACAGAAATCAAGGGTCCAATGACTCAGCAAAGGGGACAAGAATACATCTTTCTTCCACAAGACTAAGGCTAATATAAGGAACAAAAAAAAGATTTTGGTTCTTATGAAAGCTGATGGTACAAGAGTTGAAGGGGAACAAGTAGTGAAAGTTGAGGCTCTAGATTACTTTCAAGAGCTTCTAGGATGTTCCTCCAATACTTATGAGAGTAGGGATACGTTGCAACCTATTATCCAAAATAAATTACTGAACAAGCTACGGATATGGAAAGGGATGTCACTGAGGAGGAAATCAAGGAAGTTTTTTTCTCCTTCAATGACCAATATNGAGTTACTGAACAAGCTGCGGATATGGAGAGGGATGTCACTGAGGAGGAAATCAAGGAAGTTTTTTTCTCCTTCAATGACCAATATGCCCCAAGTCCTAATGGGTTCAATGCTTTGGTTTTTAAAAGGGCTTGGCAAATCATAAGGAAGGATATTGTTGCTGTTGTAAGAAATTTTTCTCTACTAGAAGGTTATTGAAGGAGCTTGACAGTACCACCATTGCTTTAGTTCCCAACGTTCCCAATCCTACAACTATGGGGGACTACAAACCAATCTCTTATTGTAATGTCATGTATAAAGCAATATCCAAGATCATTGCTAACAGGATTAAAGGTCTTTTCCCAGTCTTATAAACACAAACCAAGCTGCCTTTGTCCATGGAAGAAAGATTGGAGACAACATTCTTCTCACTCAAGATTTAATGAGAGATTACCATAAAAATAAAGGCTCCCCCAGATGTGCTATAAAGGTGGATTTGAGGAAAGCGTATGACACACTTGAATGGGCTCTCTTGTTTTAAGCTTTGGAGGCTCTTAACTTCCCTCACACCATAAGAAGATGGATTCAAGCATGTGTTACTTCTTCTAGATTCTCAGTGAATATCAATGGTGAACTTGCTGGATACTTCCCTAGTATGAGGGGTTTAAGACAAGGTGACCCTATGTCCCCTTACCTTTTTATCATTCCTATGGAATGTTTATCTTTCCTCTTCTAGTTCAACATTAGATCAAATCCTAGCTTCAGATTCCATTGGAGGTGTAAAACCCTTAAGATTGCCTAGCTTTCATTTGCTGATGACCTAATGTTATTTTGCAATGGTGATATGAACTCTACATCTGTGATTAAGAATTCTTTGGACCAATTCAGTGTGGCTTCAGGGCTTTAAGTTAATGTAGAAAAGAGTAATATTTTCATGTGTGCAAGACATGATGATATTGCTAGTCATATCAAGAATTTGTTTAGAGTTAAGGAAGGGAAATTGCCTATCATATATATATATAGGAGTTCCACTCATTTCGTCTGGTTTGAAGTATCAACACTTAAGTGCAGGAAATCATCAATGCAATGCCAAGTTACCTTCATGACCAAGATACAGAGGACTCTGCCAAGTGGACTTTAACTGCGGGGGGTATGTTTTATTCTATATCTGCCTAGGAACACATTAGGACTGAAGGACCAACCATGCAGTGGCATAAATTAGTTTGGTATGGTAAAGCTATCCCAAGAATGACCTTCATCCTTTGGCTTGCTATTAGATATAAGCTAAGCACTAAGGATAGAATTCAAAGATTTCCAACTCATATTGACCCACAATGTGTTCTATGTAAAAGAGCCGAAGAAACACACAACCATTTGTTTTTTGAATGTAGATTCTCTAACAAGGTTTGGAATGATGTTATGCTCCTAAGCAACCAGCAATGGCAGCAGAGATAATAGGTTGAATCAATCTCATGGGTGGCTCATTAGTGGAGGGGAAAATCAATGAAGACAACTATTTTAAAGCTAAGTCTCTCGGCTTCTATTTATTCTTTGTGGACTAAGAGCAAGGACCCAAATTCTCTTTCTCATTCTATCGAGCAAACCATTAGAGAAAGGCTCATACCCTTGAAATTCAAGAGAACTCAACAGAATGCAATTCTGCTACAACAATGGAACCTTCCTAAAGCTTGCTTGATATGAGCTATGCTTGGTTTCCCATTTTTTTGAGCTCTTCTGGATCTTTGCTCATTAAGGGTTCACATCTTGCAACTTGGAAGTAGTATTTGGGTGGAAGTATTGGCACAAAGCCTATACTCCCATTAAAATCCTCTTTCCAAGTTGTGCCTTTTGAGTTGTTTGCTAGGCTTACAATTTTGTTCCTTTTGTTAGGTCTCCTGTACATGGTGCCTTGTTGTACATGTCTTTTGTTCTTAATATAGATCTATTGATTTTTTGAAAAAAAAACTTTGTTGTATTCCTTCTGCCTTGTATTTGAACAAACTCAATTACTCAGAACTTCTTGTTTATGCTAGTCACAAAGATATCAAGGCCATGTTTGTTTTAAGGATAATGGTGGTATAAGGAGGTGGGATTAGGGAAAATAGTAAGTGGGGTCCAATAATACCTTGTTTGTTTACTTTTTTTTATGTAGTACTATTTTTGGGTCGCAATACTGATCTGTCAACTACAGTAGTCATAAACCCATATAGATGGGTATATATTATATCACCAAGGAGGTGGTCCTATTTTTTGGGTTTTGGCCTCCAATGGTATTAAGAAGATTAATGACTGAATTACCCTTTGGCCTTTAATGTTAGTATGAGATTTGGTCGTCGATAATTTTTTGATTTTTAATTTTTTTAATTTTTTTTAAAAAATTCTGATTTTGAATTTTTTTTTCCTTATATTATGTTTAAGCGTATGATGTCACTTTTTAATTTTTTTAATTTTTTAAAAATTTTAAATTTTAAATTTTTTCCTTGTAATGTTTAAGCAAACGATGTCACTAGTTTTTTTTTTTTTAAATTTTTTTTTACAATTTTTTTATGTACATACATCTAGAATTGATGATGTTAAAGGTAAAATCATATATTTGTTATATAAGATGTGATAGAATAGATTGTTGTTTGTGAGACCCACCATAATACCTCATGGGAGGGAATTAGAATACTTTCTAGGGTAAATATCACTCACATCCCCTGACATTTGATTTTATTACATAGACACCCCCTCACATTTTAAAAACAACTCCGACCTCATCTGACATTTATAACTTGTAACAGACAAATAATGTCATCAATAATAATTTTTAAAATACCAAAAATACCCTTTAGAATTAAGTTTGAGAATTTAAATATATGTTTTTTTTATACTAGAAATTTATTCGTCATTTATTTCAACACTTAAATTTTAATTTTCTAATTGTACAAATAACTACCTAGCCAATAAAAAATTCAACTCATAATCTAAACCCACCAATTCTCGTAATAATTATGATTTAAAAAATAATTAAGTTACTCAATATAATAGATTTGTATTAACTAAGCTTACCTTAACACGTATTGAAATCAAATATAATCTATTATTTCCATATTATGACACCACTAATTATAATTAATTAGCTAATTTTTCCCCAATTAAGACACCATCAACTAAAATAATTTTGTTTCTAAATTAAGACACCATGAATTAAGCCAATCATCTGGCAGCATCACCCACCATCATGGGCTTCCAGAATCGCTACCGCCCACCAACCTCTTCAACCACCACCTTCTAGAGAGAGAGAGAGAAGAAATGACGAGTGTGAATGACACCACCGCCTCCACCATCCAAAAAGCAACCATCAACACCATCAGTTCCACCGTCCAAAACCCAAAAGCTCCACCACACAAAACCAACCATCAACACCCTAGCCTCCATCATCCAAAATCCACTACCAAAATTTGAACCACAAAAAATTTCAAAAAATTAACCACAAAAATCAACCATAAATTCGATTTGAGAGATAAATCAAAAAAATCCACCTGTGCACCAGCACCACTAATGATAGTGGAAATTTGTGCTTCGATTGATGAAATCGATTCGAGGGTTTGGCAACTCACCCATTTCATGTGGGTTTTACAGATTAAGAGAGAGGGAGAAAGGTAATAGTCTTCAGATCTGGGGTTTGTTGTGGGGAGGGATAGGGGCCTGGGAGAGAGAGAATGAGGTTGGGAGTGCTGGGTTTGGAGTGGTGGTGGTGGTAGTAGTTGGGCTAAGAGGGCTGAGTATGGTGGCATGTTACGAAGAGGGGGCAGGGGATCTGTGAGAGAGAGAGAAAAAAAAAAGGAGTTGCAGGTTTTCAAAGAAAGATGGAGGAAGAGGAGGATGAAGAGTGGTGGTGGTCGTTACGTGGGGTAAGGGGAGTGAGATGTGAGAGAAGAGAGAGATTTTTTTTCTCTTTAATTTAATTTTTTGGTAATATATTTTATTTATTATGTATTTATTTTAAATTAAATTAAAGGGTTAAAAAAGTCATTTTATCACTTCTGTTAACGCCGGTCACCTATTGACATCAATAAGGGATTGTCGTGTCATTTTAGAAATGTTAGGGGATCTTTGTATCATTTAGTCAAATGTCAGGGAATGTGAGTGTAATATACCCTACTTTCTATTACCAGTATTAATTTCTACTGATATTAGAAATGTAAAGAATATATTTCTCAATCTCATGCATAACAATTCTCAAAACAAACATGCCCCAAGTGTATAATCATCAAACCATAGGAGAGAGCATCACAATTTACCAACAAATAGTCCAAACTTGTTGTAGCACCATTAGACAAAAGGCACTGTAGACTATTAGAAACCCAAGCTATCCTCTCTGGGTACACAATTATCTGTCTAATATTACAATTTGTAATTGGAATTGCATATTTATAGAAGCATAACAATGGCTAAGATAATCCAATTTTCATTTAACAATATTAAAATTCCTTCAAAAAAAAATTTCGTCAAAAACTTCATCTTCTCTATACAGCAACCAATGTTAGATAATTCAATTAACACACTCCATAATGTCAGACAAACTACACTACCTCTCTATTCTCTCTTTGTCTCTCTCTCACCTATCTCTCCTTTATTTTGTCTCTGTCCATTATAATGTTAAATTGTGTAATTAAAAAAATAAATTATTATTTAAAATATAAACATTGATCAAGGCTGATTTTTAATATTTCA